CCAAGACAGAGAGCACAAGCACCAGTTAATATGGACGAGAAACGACTATGAAACCAAAAGGTTGATGTTACCAGGATCAAGTGGACCACGATGGAGCTCATGCGTTAGGAGACTTACCGTTGACTTGGACACTGGGAAAGTTATCGAAGACAGGTCCGTGAGCGAGATCACGGGCAGAGAAAGGAGGAGAATGTTCAAGAAGGGACCGGTTAACATGTCTACCACCTTTACATGTGAAGCTGTTGGCGAGACTGCCCCGCACAAGTGGAAGTGCAGTGCATGTGAACATGAGGGTTGGCTTAAAACGCCCAGTACCTGTGCAGCGTGTGAAAAGGTTGGCACAGTTAAACCTCCCCCCATGAATGCGATTAACGTCGTTCACAAGGAGAATGGAGAGATAATCCAAGCATGGGGCGATGTTGCAGGAAACGAACTTGATCCTAAACTAACGATGAAAGCGCGTCAGGAAGAGATGGAGCAGTTTAGAAAGCACAAAGTTTACGAGAAAGTGAAAGAAGAAGTGTGCTGGCAAGTTACGGGGAAGGCACCCATTGGAACCAGATGGATAGATATTAACAAAGGAGATGAGTTAAGCCCTGAGCACAGGTCAAGGCTAGTGGCCCAACAAGTTAAATACAACTCCAAAGAAAAGAATATATTTGCGGCTGCGCCCCCACTGGAAGCACAGGAGTTACTCTTCTCAATGGCGGTTACCGAAGGAGTGGGATTTAAGAAAGGCGAGCGCGAGAAAGGATTATAGCTGGCATTCATTGACATTAAACGAGCTTACTTTTACGCTCCTGCAAAGAAAGACATATTCATCCGGCTACCGGATGAGGATTACGAGCCGGGCATGTGTGGAAAGTTGCTAAAGTCAATGTATGGAACAAGAAATGCGGCAAGCAACTGGGAAGACTGTTACATGGACTTTGCCATTAAAGTTGGGTTCAAGAGTGGAGTTGCGTCACCGTGCGTGTTTAAGCAGGAGACCCGAGCCCTATGGTTAACGGTCCATGGGGATGACTTTACTCTACTAGGTGGTGACCTTGACCTCGATTGGTTCGAACATAAAATAAAGGAGGAGTTTGAGGTAGAAGTGAGAGGACGACTTGGACCGGGGGAGGAAGACATGAAGGCGATCAGGATTCTTAACAGGATTGTGGAGTGGACTGAGGAAGGATTGAGGTATGAGGCTGATCAAAGGCATGCGGAAATAATTGTGAAAGAGCTTGAACTTGAGGGAGTAAAAGTGAGGACTGAGGTGCCAGGTGAACGCATTCCAGTTGAGGAGGGAGACGAGGTAGAACTTTCGCCCAGCATGACTAAGCGATATCAGGCATTAACAGGTCGGCGCAGCCTTGCGCCGGCCACCGAGTGTTGACATCCGCAGCTCATTTCTGCCAAGCAAGCTGTCTTGATTAAAGCTTCCTCCATCCTTTACCTCTTTCCCTCGAGCGTGAACGAAAGCATGGCGGACCAGCAAGTCAACGTCGCGATCAACGGCGCGGCGGTCGACCAGAGCCCGCCTGGGGCAGGGCCGGTTACGCGCGAGAACCTCAATCGCCGCGTCGACGATATCGTCAACGTGGCTCGTGCGTTCACCGTGACCCTCACCAACATGGCCGTTAACTTCCACGGGGCTTATGATAAGCACGTTGACGAGATGCAGAGGGTCGCCGATGATATGGCGCGGAGGATCGTTGACTTAACGCAGCAGAACACCGCGTTGGTTCACGCCAACGACGATGTCAACGAGAACCTCAAGAGGGCGCAGGACGAGGTTAACAACCTTGTGGCGATGGTGACAGAGTTGAACATGAAGAATCGCGACTCGGAGGTTAACGCGGCGGAGAATGCAACCAAGTACCGGCGCATTAACGAAAATATCGGTTGCCTCTTGATTACCGCCAGGCGCCTTACCGAGAATATCACGCCCCTGCAGGACCTGGAAGGTAAACGTGATGCGGCGCTACGTATTCTAATGGGAGTTACCGAGAGGCTTGAGGGTTTGCAGAAGTTCTTGGATGACCAGATCAACTCCTCGGTTACCGATATTCCGCCGGTGCCGCCGCCGTTGCCTTGGTCGCCCCCGACGGCAGCGCCCGCCAAGGCGCCGCCCGTTGCCGCCGCCGCGGCAGCCGGGCCCATGGCCACGGGCGCGCCCCCAGCGCAGCAGGTCAACGTGGCTCCGCCAGGCAAGGCTTTCCCTACTCAGGACCTGGCTGGCGTGACCGCTAAAGCCGGGGGAAGTCGGCGGTCCGTGTCGCCGAACAAGATTCGAGCGTCACCGGTGAGCCCGCAGGGCGGTGAAGAGCCACAGCCTGCTTACAAGCGGGCGCCGAAGGCCATGCGTGAACGTCAACGGGAGCTGGAGGAGTTGAGGCAGATAGGCGCCAAGATGGACGAGGATCGAACGGTTGGTGGTCAACGTGATGAGGCGCCAAAGAATCCTGCTCCCGTCGTAAACGCGAGGCCGGCCAAGCCGCCCCCTCCGGGGTTCGGCGAGTCCGGAGCGGCAAGCAGCGTTACCGGCGCGAAGCCCTCGCCTCCAGAGGCCAAGAGGCTACCGTTCCAGCACATCCCGCCGCCGCAGCCTCAGGTCGTTAACCGCGCGATTGATCAGGTTGAGAGGCGCTCCAGGATCGTCGCCGAGGACACCACTTACCGCCCGCTGTACCACGTCAACGGTCGCATGTCCATGCTGAACAACAGGAGCGACGACTACGACGTTAACTTTCGGGCGGAACCTGATCCCAGGGATGTGGTAGCCTTAACGATGAAGACGCGTGATAACTGGCGCAAGTTTGAGGGTAACTTCGTCGGGCACGTGGCGAAGGCGGGGTTAACGACCCCTGGCGGCAGGGCCATTCAGGGCAACGCCGGGCGGGAACTTAACGATTACGAGGACGTGTTCGTTGACATCTTCGGCCAACGCGCTTACGGTTTCATCGGCTATGCCGTGTTGAAAGGTCCGATCAACTGGAGGTCTCAGTTAACGGACAAAGAGTTGGCCAAGCATGATGAATGGGTTGACGCGGTTGGGCACGTGCAGTCCCTATTTGATGATGACTACGTGCCACCGCTCCACCTTGACGAGCTTCACCCATCGTGGTTTGAGCACCACAGTTGCCCGGACACGCAAGTGTACGTCAACGAGGTGCCGGAGATGAACGAGAAGCAGCTTAACGGCCTCCTCTTAACGTGGGCAGGAATGCTGCCCCACGGCAACCCCACCGTCATCTCCGTTAAGCACCTGGTGGAGGACACCCATGGGCCGCACGGTTACATCTCGACTGGAGTTACCGTGATTCGCTTTGCGACGCCCGATCTTGCCAGGCTTTACTGCCGTTACATGAACGGGCTCCAGGTGCATTACCGTAACTACTACATCGACGACCTCGAGGTCAGGAGCACCGCGGAGTTAAAGGGCAGGATGAGCAAGCCTCCAGTATACTGGCACCAGACCGTCTTGGAAGTTGCCCTTAACGATCAGGGATCCATGAGGGCACTTTACCGTGATAATTGGCCGGCCGATCATGTCACCGAGCGTAAAAGCGATCACCGTGAGAAGCTTTGCTGGTTTGGCTGGTTACCGTGCGACGACTTCCCCAACTGGCTTACCGATCCGGCCTGGACTGTGAATCCGTTTGCCGGCGCTGCGGTCGAAGAGCACCTCCGTAACAATCCAGGCGATGGGCCTCTGTTAAAGGCTCCCCACGCCAGTTACTGGAGAGCCATCGGCACTTACCACAACATCGTTGACGGCTCAATCAAGAGCCACGATGAGGGGTGCTGGCTTAACGACGAGGAGCGCATTAACGCGTGCATGGACGACGATTACTACAACCAGATGCAGGCCCTTAACAGGGTGTCGTCCTACACCGCAGCCGGTGTGGGCCATCGCGGGTTACCGAGGTCGAGGGGTTCACGGGCGCCGTCGGCGAGGCGCCCGCGCCGTCCGTGAAAGATGGCAGGCAGCCGACATGCTGCAGTTCGCGCTCTTCCTCATCTCCCCTCTTAACTTGGCTTAACGATCGAGTGGCAGCAGCCTGTTGAGCTGAGTTTGTTTGCATGCGCATCTCTTGTTGTTACCGCAGGTATTGGCGTGTAAAAAGCGAAAGCAACCAAAATCATCCACATGCTAGCTTGCTGTGTAAACTTTAGATGCTTCGTTTGAACTTGTGACAGTAAACGTGTTTACTTGAGCTCAGGTTACATGTGTGAGAAACTTGGTGCTCGTAAGTGCCGTCACGAGGCATTTCGAATTCAACAGTGTGATGAAGAGACTTGAGGCTTAACGTCATTTGCGTGCGACGTTTTGTCTAGCTTGACCTGTTTTCGTGATTGTTGACGCCTCCCCGTCAGCCTATACGGACTAGCGTCCGAGGGGGGGTGTTAACATGTGAGCATTCAGGTGACTGGGGAGTGAAGGTGTCCCCGTTACCGTTTGGCTCAAGTATTTAACGGCTGAAGCTACCGAGACTTGCTTCGCCGTGCTGAGGTAAAAAGGTGACCGATCGTCATCGCTGTCACCGAGCTCCCGTGCAGAACCCTCCTCGGGGTTTTGCAGGAGGAGGAGGAGGAGGAGGAGGAGGAGGAGGAGGAGGAGGAGGAGGAGGAGGGAGGAGGAGGAGGAGGAGGAGGAGGAGGAAGAGGAGGTGGAGGAGGAGGAGGAGGAGAAAGAGGAGGAGAATGAGCAGGAGGAGGAGGAGGAGGAGGAGGAGGAGGAGGAGGAGGAGGACGAGGAGGAGGAGGGAGAGGAGGAGAAAGACGGCTTGCGGGCTTTTGCATTTTTTCGTCTTGGTTTGCCCTTTTTGTTCTTGAAGTGCACGCGCTGCTTTGCACGATCATGTTGTGATCACTCCTGTGCCCTCCTTTTTTTTCAGCACGGCCATCCAGCCAATGGCGGTCTACCCTTAGAAGACGGAGAAGGATAGGTCAGGAGGACGGCCTCGTCCTCCTTTTTCCCTCCCCCCCCAGTCCTCTCCTCCCCCGAGCAGGCATGGCGCCGGAGAGGGGGGCGAAGGAGCCGAAGGAGGACCAGAGACTGCCGCCGCGTCCGCGCGGTCCGATCGTCCACCCCTCCCCCCCCTGACCTTTCTAGCGTGAGGCGAATTTGGCGTCGCTTGGAGCTGGCTGGGGGTGTCAGGTGGCCCAGCACTGGCTCTGGCGAGCAGGAAGGGGGGGGGGGGATGTTCGAGGTTCTGGGTTCGGGAGGGCCTCTTGCCGGTCTCCGGGGGCCGTCTTACGTCCCCAGGACAGACAAAAATCCATCAGGGGTGACAACAATGCAGCAGATGAGTCTCGGGAGGGGTCCGAGGATAGATTTTGAGCCGATTTGTTCTTATCCCCCCCGTCTTGGCCGATTTTTTGAGCCCATCCAGCTCAGACCCCCTGGCCGCGTCCGAGGCGTCGTCCTGTCTCAGTGCCGATCGTGAGGATCCCTCCGTCAGCTTCTGAGGGCGCACTCCTGAGATTGTCCCCGCCTTGGGCTCGTCAGTCTCTGGGGCCTCGGTGAGCTCGAGGCTGCTTCGTCGACGGCCTTCCAGAGGGAGCTCGCGTTCCAAGAAGTGGCTAATTAGGAAGGGGCCCATACGGCAATTTCCGCGAGGGTGACTTCCTATTCGGCGCTCATCCAAGACGCCTGCGGCGAGTCGCCGCCGCGCGCTGCCTTTTGGAAACGCCCATGTGGCCGAACGTTGCGTTGCGGCCAGAGCTCGGCCAAGCTATCGAACTACTTGTGTGTTTCCTCGGTCGTTGTGGATCCCCTTCGGGGAGCAAGAGAGCGAAGAAGAGGAGATGGATAGAAAAAGAGGAGGAGGAGGCGTAGGCGGAGGCGGAGGAGGAGGAGGTGGAGGAGGACGACGAAGGGGGACGGCAAAGAGCACGAGGAAAAGGACGTCGAAAGATGGGGGGGTGGTCCTCGTGATTTTTTGAGGCTACCCTGGGGGCTGTTGCGGCCGTCTGGGGCTATCTTGGGGCATCCTGGGGGCCTCTTGGGGGCCTCCTGGGGGCCTCTTGGGGGGTACTCGGGTCTTCTTGGTCTATCTGCGTGTGTCTTAGGGCTCTGTGGGGGCTCTCTCGGGCCGTCTTGGCGCCATCCTGGGCTGTCCTGGGGCTCTCTTGGGCGGAGGCACCTCGGCCTTGCGAGCGCGAGTAGGTCGTATGTTGCGAGGGATTGTGGCCTCGCGAACAGGGGGCGGTGCATGCCGCTGGGCGCGTCCTGAGGGTGGGGGGTGGGGGGCTTTAGAAAATGAAAGAACCCTGCCAGATAGCACTTGACATTCTAGCATGCCCCGACGTGCCGGGGGGCTCGGTGGCGGATTGATCCGGTTTAAGTCAGCCCAGTAGCCCTTGAATCTGGCCACATGAGCTTCAATCGCACTTGCGGATAAGAGTGAAGGGGCGGGCGCTGGTTGGGTCGCGGTTGGGTCGCGTGTGAATCGCCGGGTAGGTCGCGGGGTTGGTCGCTCGTGGGTCGGGTGGGTCGCGGGTGGGACGACGACGACGACGGCGACGTCAACAACAAGCAAACAACAACTGTCAGCTTAATCTGGGCCACAGGATCCCACTTCACCCACGTACCCAGGGATGTTGTAAGACCGTTCGACCCCCTGACTCTGACGCACCTTTCGGCCTACAGGGGTCAATCAAAACGCGGCCCGGGATTTCGGGAGCAGCTCATGGGAGCCTTGTCTGTCCTCGAGATCCCGTCTTTGCGAGTGCATTCGCGTTCGCTGGCGTCCCGCAGTCGATGAGAAATCGCAGGCCTAGCGTCGACTCAGCAGTCGGTCAGCGTCGAGTCGCAAGAGCCAGCGAGATGACGTGGGAGGGCCCCGTGAGAGTTGCCACAAGGCGGGACGAAGCCGGTCCAGGCGAGGAGTTGTAGGAGCTCCGGGGCCGAGGTTCGTGAGCGAAGGGGAAGGCGCTGGGGGGTGCGTGCGCCCCACGAGGGTAGCCACAAGAAGGGGGCGAGAAGGCGGTCAGGGGAGAAGAGTCTCGGGAGCTCCGGGGCCGAGGTTCGTGAGCGAAGGGGAAGGCGCTGGGGGGTGCGTGCGCCACGCACCGAGGCACGCATGGGTCGCGCCTGCGTGCGGCCAGCGACAACAGCGACAGCGACGATGACGACCATCGTTGTTTTCGTTGTTAGCGCTACGTAGCGTTGGTATCTCACCACGCACCAAGCCACCCCAACCCAACCCGAAGGCCTAAATTTGCCCTTCATGTCCAGTGTGGGGGGGGGTCGGTGAACATTGAAAGAACACACGGGCCCCGTCCCCCCCCCAACCCGAAATTCGAGTCAAATTCGGGTCTTCGGGTTGGGTTGGGGTGGTCTGGTAGGTAGTCAATAACCTTGTTGCTGTGGTTGCGGAGTCTCGCAGTGGCTCCGCTCGGCGGCGTCCGCAGATCTGGCGGCGCCTCACTTGCGGGCGCGCCGGGCGGGGAGGGGGCGGACGGTCGCGCCGAGGGGGGCGCCGCGAGGGTCTCCCCGAGGATGAGGGGGAGGAGGTGTCGAGGCGGGACCTGGAGAAGCAGGTCTACGACATGAGGCGGGAGAAGGCGCGCCTGGAGGAGAGTATCAAGAAGATGGAGCAGGCTCCTCCTCTCCTCTCCTCTTTCTTCTCCACCCTCCTTGTCGTCGCAGTCGGCGTCGTTGTCGTCGTCGTTCTCCTCCTCCCCCGCCCCCTTCTCCTCCCGCCTCATCTCTCCTCCCTCTCCCTCTTTCTCCTCGCCCTTCTCCTTTCGTCTCCCTCCTCTCTCCTCCGGTCCTCTCTTTCCTCTGTCCTCCGCCACCTCCCTCTCTTGATTCTCCTTGCCCCCTGTCGTCGTACTCTTCCCCTCGCCCCCTCGCCCTCCCTCCCTCCTCCCCTCCTCCTCCCCTCTCCCTCCCCCCTCGAGCGAGGCCCGGCAGCGCATCTTCGGCGAGCAGGAGCGGCAGCGGCGCGAGCGGGATCGCGCGGGCGAGGGCGCCCCCAGCCCGAAGCGCCCCCGGAAGCGCGAGGGCGGCGAGGACGAGGCGAAGAAGGCCTCCCGGGAGGGGCGAACTCTAGGCCGCTTGGGCGCCGCGTAATGGGGGGGTCATAAAAGGGGGGTGGCGAGCGTGGTCCGAAAAGGTACCCAAACGGTACCTAAACGAGCCCCCTGGGGCTCTGGAGGGGCCCGAAAGGGGCACGAAAGGGGACCTTTTCTGACCCCCCCCATTTGTGACCCCCGCATTAAGCCACGCCCAAGCCGCCCGCCGCGGCGGCGGGAGCGACAGAAGGACGTACACGTACATGAATCCACGCTGGTTTCGAGAGTGCGCATTGCGCAAATGTTCGTATGACGCGGCCGGTCTCGCCGATCGAGGGGCCGTGTTCACGTTCATAGCTGGGCGCGTACGTCCTTTGTGTGCTCCCTATAGGCCGCCCGCCGCGGCGGCGAGGTGCCCCCCCCCCCCCCCCGGGGGGGGGCGATGGGCGCGCGGCGGCGGCGGCGGGGTCGGAGCAGACGGGGTCGGAGGATCGCGCCGCGTCGCCGACGCCTCGCCGAGGCGTGTCGATGTGGGGCCTCAGTTAGGCATCTTCAAAAATAGTTGAAGAATAGTCTGGGGACTATTTGTTGAATATTCTTTAAACAGTTTTTTTTTTTTTTTTTTTTTTTTTTTTTTTTTTTTTTTTTTTTTTTTTTTTTTTTTTTTTTTTCTATATATATATATATATATATATATTAATATATATATAGCATTTTTTTATATTTCGTCGAAAATCTCCCTGTAGGGGGACACGCCCGACTTAATTCTACCGCGCTGACGGCGCCGATGCATCGCCATTCAGGATGCCCCTATCCCAGGAGAGGACGATGCGGGCGAGCATCTGGTTGAGACACCTTCTCCCGAAACGCTGGGCCAGCGTTTCTCAGCCAACTTGCTGGAAGGCTGGCCCCGTTTCTCGATCACGCTCGCCCCTCCAGCGTGAACAGCAGAGGTTGGTCCAGGCTTGCTTTAAGAAAGAAACTTCTGGGAAGCTCGCGCATACTTCTTAAATGAGAAGTTTCTTGACAACATTTTCGGTTTCTGGGGAAACATGGAAAGTGGATGGGAAGACGGATATCAAGAAAACAATGGAATCTATGAACACATGGTGTATCCTGAGATTTGTGTTTATTTATTTGTGTCTCACTGCTCCCTGGGCCCCTTCAGCCTCGCTGAGCACAGAGAGCACTCGAAGAGAGATTGATTTTTACCCTCTGGCGCGTGGCGGTCGTTACCGCCGCACCCCCTGGTAACGGTAGCGATCCTGCGTGGGGCCGCGGGGGCCGTCTTGGGGCCCCCTTGGGGCCCTCTTGGGGCTGTATTTGGGGCGTCTTCGGGCCCTCTTGCGGGCGCCAAGGGTCGTCTTAGGACGTTCTTTGGAGTTTCCTGGGCCGGATTGGACGCCGTAACGACGAGAAAGAAGTATGTTCTGAAATTGGTACGTATACATTACCAGTGGCGGGCTGTTTTTCAATCCCCGGATTTGTCGAGGGTTGAGGACGACGCTGGGGTGGTGTGGTGTATATTTTTTTGGCCCGATGCTCCGGGAAAACAACGAAAAATGTATACACCAGGGTTCCGTATACACCAGGATCTGCTCTCTGGTGCAAATTCCAACGCAGGGCCGGAAGAAGCGTCGGTGTATAGAGTTTGGCTCCTCATATGTCGAAGCTGCAGGTTTTCCTCAGGATGCGAAGGCGCTTTGTTGCGCCTCGAGGGGGGCGGGGGGCCTGGACCCCCCCCGATCTCTGCCCCTGGTGCTCGCGCGCGCGACATGGCGATCGCAGCGTACCCCTGCCCCGACATGCCCCGCCCGCCCGAGCGCGACCGCTACCCGGCCCCGCCCCCCTTCAGGCAACGACCGCTGCCGGAAACAAGAAACAGTTTGCAGGACACCAAACAGCATCGCCATGCTCTCTCGGGGTTTCGCGCCGGACGAAAGGGGGGGGATTGGGAAAGGGGGGGTTGCAAAATTTGCTGCATGCAGCTGGTTTCGGCCCCACCGAGGGGCCCATTCCTCGATACATCGTCGCCTCTGGCGCCGGGAGGAGCCGGGAAAATCAGCTACGTGAGCTGATTCTCAAACCCCCCCTTTGCTATCCCCCCCTTTCGCGCGACCCGAGAGTTCTGCGTGGATCTTTTTGGTCGGTGCTGGCCCCCCCTGGTGGCGCCTCCATGGCCGCTCCTGGCGCGCTTCACGCGCCAAGGGGGGGGTCCAGCGCAGATCCGAGAAATCCACGCGGACTTCCGACCGGTTATGCTTGTGTCGGGGGTGGACAGACCTCCTACCCTGACACGTCGATTAGTGAATTGGCCGTTTTCGGCTCGCGAGACGGCGTCGCGGCCGTCATTTTTGCGGGTCCAGGTCCGTCGGTTTCGGTCCCAGGCCGATTTTATTAAGGGGAGGTTTACTAAAGGGAGGTTTGTCCACCGCCGATTGTGCAATGTTTGAATCCTTTATTGCTTGCTGCGGCGATAATACAAGGGTTTCGTAAAAAGGGCGAACGTGTAGCACACGCAGTTTGAAAGACGACGCGCGCGGCATTGGTACGCTTTATCCCTCCCGATGGTGTGCATGGGCGCCATCTGCTCGCCAACGGGTCTCGTCAGGTTTTCGGTGGTTCTTGTGAGCCTGGTATACCCTTTTGATTCAGTCTTTAGCGTCGGCTAGTGTTGGTTAGTCTCTGGTAGTCGATGAGATGGCGCCGATATAGCGTCGATGAGCGTCGATTTTGCGTAGAATACGGTAGGTTCATGCGGCGATGGCTCGCATGCGACGACGGCGAAGGCGTTCAAGGTTGCATTCTACGGCGCGGAAGCACCGATGGACACGTGACGCCACTGGACCCGACGGAATTCAACCTTGAACGATCGGGGCCGCGATCGGTTGAGGATTGAACGATCGACGCAGTGTCGAAAGCCTCTGCGCGTGCCGACGCCGCACGAATCCACCGCAGCGTTGATTAGCTGCGATTCGCAAGAGCCAGCAAGGTGGCACGGGAGGCTCCCAGGAGGTGCCACCGAAAGGTTCTCTCGCCCCAGGGTGCACGCGCGTCGCCGAGAGTAGCTTCAACATTTCCAGAGCGTCCAGATCATGCCGAACAGGTGCGGGGGCTCGAGACATGGGCCCGAAAGCCAGACCTCCGAATGCACACCCACACACATTAGTTTTTTTCTGGTATAAAAAAGACATGTATCTATACATGTAAGTCGAACATGCCTATGTTGAAGGTTGGCGGTCTTCCTCCTTCGGCTTCGAGGGGGCCCCCAGGAAGGGGTCAGGACCTTTCTGGGCCCCGGGTCGGAAGAGTCACATCGTCGGAGACTGTCTGCGGGGAGTGCCCGCCATGCCCAGAGATCCCGGCGTCGCAAACGAAGACGTGGAGGCAGCTTTTTCAACGTGTTCGGCCTCAGGAGGACGTTGCCCGGCCCCCTGATTTTCAAAAGCGACACCATTGTGGCCAGGCACATTAACAAATTCACTCGCGACCGAAGTGTGTCTTGCGGTTTCGTTCGCGAGCGAACGGTTCGTTCGCGCCGAATGACGAGCGATTTCTTCAGGTTTCGTTTCTGGGAATTTATCAAGAAAGAAAACACCGTTCGTTCGCGAACAAAATCCCAGATCTATTTGACGGACCTCGGCCAGACTTGACGGACAGACTTGACACACCTATCAAGGAAGTCGGTCAAAGGTCTTTCAATCGTCTGTCAGTCTGATGACGATGATGATCGTGAAATGTACCTGTTAACCGTCTGTACAGTGAGGGGTTGGTTAACTGTCTGTTAATGGGTACACGGCAGATCCGCCGACCGCCTGTCAACATATAGTCGACATATCACTCAATCGGCCCAGTATCTGTCAACATATGTTTATAAGATGGCTCACATGTTGTTGACAATCTTGCAATTGGTTGGCGTTCCGTTGGCTGGTTTCGTTCGCAAGCGACATCCCAAGGACCACACCCGCGAGTCAAATGCGATAGCTCTGTCACAGATATTTGTTTTGCCATTCGCGTGGTCCCTTGTGGCAGGATGGCGAGTCGGGTCCGGGAAACGGCCAAGATACCTGGGCGCCAGCGTCACGAAAGATGCGACTCGGAGGAGAAGGTGAACACCCAAGCTTTCACTTGAGTATGACAGTTTTTGGCCGTTTTCGGGCTACACTGGCCCTCTGGGGGGCGTGGCCGTGCCCTGGTGCCGTCAAACAACGACTGAGGATGAAAAGCCGGCTCTGCAGGAAATGCGGTTTACATGGGGCCCTGTATCGAACAACTCACGATATCGTTTCATGTTTGGAAAGGATATGTGGGATCGAGGTTCGAGGTTCGCGGATTCAAGCTTTTATGTGTTTGTTGAGTCTTTTTTGAATTTCCTGGGGCGCCGTCGTTGCCAGGGCTGGACCCCCTGCGTAATTCTTGCCAGATCGCACCCCAAGGGGGCGCCAGGGACCTCTCTTCCAGGGTGGTCACCGCCGTGAAGAAGCGGGGTCCTGGAGCAAGCTGGTCCCCGAGGTTTCCCGCTGTCCGGGCTCCCAGGGGCCTTTCGCTGGGCTCGGGAGGGTCAGAGAACGAGGCAGGATGAAGAGCTGGTCTCCGGGGAAGGGCCCCGGGGACGCAGACACACCGAGGAACTTCTGGCTTGGCATCGCTCGGACGTGTGCATTTTTCCTTCGGCGAGGACCATCGAGGAGCATCCTTGATCAATCGGCGAAAAAACCACGCACGAAACTGGAAAAAGCACCGGGAGTGGACGTCCGAGCGATGGCGAGCTGGGGCCCCCCCGATCGTCGCGTGCGGTGCGATGGTAGCGTTTTGTGCGCTTGTGTTTGGTCACCCTGCGGCCCTCGAAAAGCCGCGCACCAGAGTTCACTCCTGCCCAGGGTCAACCTTGCGTGTAGTCGAACGGTGATGGGGAAGGGGTGTGGAAACCAATCTTGAACTCTAGGCCCCTGCATGGTGTTGGAGTAGATGCGGTCTGAGGATCGCGCCGCATCGCCGATGCATCGGCGATGCGGCTCGATGTGGAGCCCGATTTGCTCCACGCCAGCGTCGCCGATGCACCGCCGACGTCGCCGATGCGGCGCGATTGTCCCATCTGGGATGCCTCCGTGAACGTAACGTGGCACCAGGCAGCTTCGTGTCGCCTCCACGTGGCGGCGGCGCCAGCGTCCCCTCCCCCCTGGGGGTCCTGGGTCCCCTGAGGACGCTCGTGACGAACGAGCAGCACACACCCATACCCATGAGGGGGGACGGAGGAGGCTGTGGGTGCGTGTCGTCGGATGGGGTGCCCGCTCGAACGGGAGCCTCCCCGGCTGCCCGACAACCCGCACCCATACCCATAGCCAGTCCTCCTCCCGCCGACCCCCCTCTATTCGACTAGACGTAAGAGTGACCCTTCGCCGGAGTGACCCTTGGTGCGGGTCCACCAGGGTTTCCTGAGCGCGCCTGTCTTTGGCCCCCTGGCGGCCCCCCCAAAGCCGCGCACCAAAGGTCACGCTTGCCCAGAGGTCACCCCTGCGTGTAGCCGACCTGTGGGGTGTGGGTGTGTGCTGCTCGTTCGTCAGCTCAAGCAGCCTCCGGGCACGGCCCGGGGCGAACACCGGCCCACGGCCGAAGGGCTGCCCGCGGCAGCAGGAGCCGAGGGCCCGCGCCGTGAGGGCCTGGGGGCGCTCCTGGGCCTCCTCGTGGCCACGGCTGGACGCAGCTCGAGCGGCCGGTCACGACGGTCTCCGGGAGTGGCCCGGGGACATCTCGGCATACACCGGTCGGGGGGACAGCTCCTCGATTCGTCGAGAGCGAGGCCCTTGTGGGAGCGCCCTCTGCGCACCAGAGCCCCGCCGTCGCGAAAGAGCGGCGATCTCAAGGGAACGCCAGCGGCATGCACGTGAACCTCGGGAGCTCCGCGCGGGCTCCTGGGATCGGCGCTGGACCCCAAGAAGCCAGCGCGGAGCGCCGAAGGTTCGTGCTTCTGCCTTTTTTTTTTTTTTCCTCCTCTTGGTCTTGGCATCGCTGGGGCGCGTGCATGTTTCCGTCGGCGAGGACCATCGAGGAGATTCCTGATCATCTGGCGAAAAAGCCACGCACGACACCGACAAAAAGCACAGGGAATGGACGCCCGAGCGATGGCCGGTGGTGGAGAGGTCGGCCTCCCAGGAGAGGCCGATGCGCGGCGAGGCCCCGGGGCTTCTGGACCCCCAGAAGCCAGCGCGGAGCGCCGAAGGTTCGTGCTTCTGCCGTTTTTCTGTTTTTCCTCCTCTTGCTGGAGGTGGGCCTCCTGGGAGGGGGCCGCTGCGCGGCGAGGCCCCAGGCTTCTGGACCCCCATAAGCCAGCGCGGAGCGCCGAAGGTTCGTGCTTCTGCCGTTTTTTTTTTTCCTCCTCTTGCTGGAGGTGGGCCTCCCGGGAGGGGGCCGATGCGCGGCGAGGCCCCGGGCCTCTGGACCTGGCCGCCCCTCCCGAGCCCCGGCTAGGGGCCGCCGTCGGCGCTCGCGCCGGTGGGCGCGCCTCGCCCCGGGCGGGCGTGCCCACCGCTCCGGGGTGCCCCGGGGCGCGGCCCGGCCTGGGAGGGGCGCTCGTGGAGGCCCGGCGCTCCCCCGCCTCGCCTCCTGCGAGGAGGGCGAGGAGGAGGAGAAGGAGGGCGCCGAGAAGAAGGACGGCGACAAGAAGAGCGGCGAGGAGGGCGGCGACAAGAGCGGCGACGAGAAGGGGGAGGAGGAGAAAGCCGCCGAGGGCGCGGACAAGGAGGAGAAGGAGAAGGAGGGGGAGAAGGAGAAAGAGGGGGAGAAGGAGAAGGAGAAGGAGAAGGGGAGCGAGTCCGACAAGGAAGAGAAGGAGGAGAAGGAGGAGGAGGAGAAGAAGAAGAAGGAAAGGGTCGAGAGAGAGGACCCGGGGAAGCAAACACCGTGCGGTGGTAGTCGATATTCGGCCCCAGTCCAGTCCCTCGTCCCTCTTCTTCTGCTCCCTCCCATGCCCACTGTCCTCCTCGCCCCTCCCTCTCTTCACTCCTCATACCTCCTCCTTTCCCATGGGGGGTGCGAACTGTTCCTCCTTCCAATTGCTCCTCACCCCTCGTTCCTCCTCGTTCCTCCGCGTTCCTCCGCGTTCCTCCTCCTTCCTCCTCTTCCTCCTCCCCATCCTCCTCCTCCTCCTCCTCCTCCTCCTCCTCCTCCTCCTCCATCCTTTCTCCTTATAAATATCTACTCTCTGTCGCACCCCGAGGCGCGTCGGTAGGGCGGGCTGGGCGTTTTGCCTGAGACTTCTTCGCCATGATCCTTACACTGAACATTTGCAACCGTTTCACGGTTGGAGGGCGGCCTGTTTTCTAAATGTGGCTCTCGCCTTAGGGTCGTGCGCATTCGTTTAGGTTTGCAAGAGTTTCACGGATGGAGGGCTGGTGGTTTTCAACATGTGGCTCTCGCTTTAGCGCCGCGTGCACTCGTAGGCGGGCGGTTTTCGAACAGTGGCTCTCGCCTTAGCGCCGCGCGCATTCGTCTTAACACATTGCATACACTTCACGGATGGAGGGCGGCACCTTTTCAAGCTGTGACTCTCTTTCAGCGCCGCGCACATTCGTTTTAAGAGTTTACAGCAATTTCAAGGATTCAGATGGTTGACGCCGCAGGCATGGTGTTTTGGTGCGATGTAAAAGTGTAAGAGCGCACCAGTTACGTTGAACCGCTGTCAGCAACGTAGATTCGCGGCTTTGAATTCCCAGGAATGGTGTGCTAGCATGGTTGAGGATTTTTAGACGGTTGTCTTCCAACGGGCCATTTCTCTAGGTGGCAATGGAAGGAAGGTTGCACCATCGTTGATGAGTCTTGGGTTTGCACTTGTCCTCCTCGTCCTCCTCCTCGTCCTCCTCCTCGTCTTCTTCTTCTTCTTCCTCCTCCTCCTCCTCCGTGGGAAGTCCGAACTGCTCCCCGTTCCTTACGCCTCCTCTTTCCTGTTGCTCCCCCTCCCCCCTGCCCCCCTTCTTCTCAATGCTCCCCTCCCTGCTTCCCTTGCTCCCTGTCGTCATCCCCATTTCCCTTCCCCTCCCTCCATCCTCCTTCCCCCGTCTCCTGGTGGAGTCCGAGTCTCGATTTCCGCTTCGGTTTCCAGCTGCCCTGAGCAGGAGGACACCCGTCCGAAGAGGGAGGAGCGGAAGCCGGACAGGAGGAGCCGCCAGATGTTCGGCGGCCTCCTGGGGCACTTGCACGCGGCCAAGAGCCGCCTGGAGAAGGAAAGGGGGGCTCGGGGAGTTGGAGGAGGAGGAGGAGCAGGAGGAGGAGGAGGAGGAGCAGGAGGAGGAGGAGGAGGAGGAGGAGGAGAAGGAGGAGGAGGAGGAGGAGGAGGAGGAGGAGCAGGAGCAGGAGAGGAGGAGGAGGAGAGGACGAGAAAGACGAGGAGGAGGGGAGGAGGAGGGAGGAGAGGAGGAGGAGGGAGGGGGAGGAGGGGAGGAGGAGGGCGAAAGAGGCGGAGGAGGAGGATGAGGATGAGGAGGAGGAGGAGGAGGAGGAGGCGGAGGGGGAGGAGGAGGATGAGGAGTTTCCCGCAGTTTCCCCCCAGCCGCAGCGGCTGTCTGGCCGCCGCGCTTCGGCGCTTGCCCCTCCCCCAGGTATGCCCCCATTCTCAAAGGGCTCCCGTCCAGGGTATGGGGCGTCCGCGCTCGGGCGCCGCTGGCGGTGCGCTCGGCCTCTGGCCGCTCCCCTGGGTGTGCCCGCTTTCTCAACGGGCTCCCCAGGGTTTGCGGCGCTGGGTGGGCGCCCCGCGGTCGCGGGCTTGCGCCCCTCTGCTTCGGGCCGACGATGATGATGATGATGATGATGATGATGATGATGATGATGATGATGATGATGATGATGATGATGATGATGATGATGATGATGATGATGCTGATGATGATGATGATGATGCTGATGAAGATGATGATGATGATGATGATGCTGATGATGATGATGATGATGCTGGTGATGGTGATGTGGATGATGATGATGATGACGAGATGATGATGCTGATGCTGCTTGATGCTGGTGATGACTGATTCTGATGATGCTGATGATGATGAGATGATGACGAGGATGAGATGATGCTGATTGAGGTGAGATTATGACTGATGGATGACGATTGATGATGTGATGATCGATGGTGAATTGATGCTTGATGCTGCTGCTGATGATGCTGATGATTGATGTTGTTGATGATGATGATGCTGATGATGATGATGACGATGATGATGATGACGTGATGATGATGATGATGATGATGATGATCGATGGTGGATGATGAGATTATGCTGATGATGATGAGATGATGATGATGATGATGATGATGATTGATTATGATGATGATGATGATGATGATGATGATGATGATGATGATGATGATGATGATGATGATGATGATGATGGTGATGGTGCTGCTGATGATGATGATGACGACGATGACGACGATGATGATGATGATGCTGATGATGATGATGATGATGATGATGATGATGATGATGATGATGATGATGACGATGCTGCTGATGATGCTGATCATAATGATGCTGATGCTGATGATGCTGATGATTATGATGATGAGGAGGAGGAAGAGGAGGAGGAGGATGAGGAGGAGGAGGAGGAAGACGAACCATATCAAGAATACTAATAGTAATAATATTACTAATTAATACAATTAGTGATACTAAGGAGGAGGAGGAGGAGGAGGAGGAGGAGGAGGAGGAAGGAGGAGGGCGGATGAAGTGAGCGTGAGGCGGAGGGGGCAGGAGTAGGAGGGGAGGGGGAATAGAGGAGGATAGGGATAGTAGAGGATAGGAGGAGGAGGAGGAGGAGGAGGAGAGGAGGAGGAGGAGGAGGAGGAGGATAAGGAGGAGGAGGAGGAGGAGGAGGAGGAGGCGGAGGAGGAGGATGAGGAGGCAGGAGGAAGGAGGAGGAGGAGGCAGATGAGAAAGAGGAGGAGGGGAAAGAGGAGGGAGGAGGAGGAGGAGGAGGAGGGAAGGATGAGGAGAGGAGGGGGATGATGAATGATATGATGATGAATGGTAATTGGTGCTGTGATGATGATAGATGCTGGATGATGATGATGTGAATGATGATTGATGATGATGAGAGCGGGAGGAAGTAGGATGAGGAGGAGGGGATGGAGGAGTAGAGGCAAGGGGGAGGATGAGGGATGATGCAGGTAGGCGGAGGAGGATGAGGAGGGAATGGCGGGAGGAGTAGGGACGGAGGAGGAGGGCGGAGGAGGAGGAGGGCGGAGGAGGAGGGGCGGAGGATGATGATGATGATGCTGATGATGATGATGATGATGCTGATGATGATGATGATGATGATGATGATGCTGATGCTGATGCTGAAGATGAATATGATGATGATGATGATGATGATGATGACGATGATGATGAGACTGCTGCTGCTGCTGCGGCTGCTGCTGCTGATGATGATGATGCTGCTGATGATGATGATGATGCTGATCATGATGATGATGCTGATGATGCTGATGCTGCTGCTGATGATGATGGCGATGATGATGATGATGATGACGATGGTGATGCTGATGACGATGCTGATGATGCAACTGATAATGATGCTGCTGATGATGCTGATGATGACGATGATGATGCTGCTGCTGATGAATATGATGATGATGCTGATGATGATGATGTTGATGATGATGATGGTGATGATGATGGTGGTGATGCTGATGATGATGCTGATGATGATGCTGCTGATGATGATGATGATGCTGATGATGCTGATGATGCTGATGCTGATGATGATGATGATGATGATGATGATGAAAATGAAGGTGAGTATGAAGATGATGATGACGATGCTGCTGATGATGATGAATGATGCCGATGACTGATGATGGAATGATGATGAAACTGCTGATGATGTGATCTGATGCTGATGCTGATGCTGATGATGGTGATGAATGATGAATGAAGAATAAGATTAAGATGATGGGTGATTGATGATGATGATGAATTATTGACGTGATGATGAATGCGGATGATGATGATGAATATGAAGATGATGATGATGATGATGATATGATGATGATGATGATGATGATGAATTTGATGATGAATGATGATGATGATGAGGAATGATGATGACATTAGGAATGATGATGTGATGATGATGATGATGATAGATAAAAGATGATGAATGAATGATGATGATAGGATGATGATGATGCTGATGAATGATGATGATGATGATGATTATGATGATCTGTATGAGGATGAGGAATGATGATGATGATGAGGAGGAGGATGAGAGGATGAGGAGGAGGAGGAGGAGGCGGAGGAAAGGGGAGGAGGAGGAGGAGAAGACGAACCATATTGACAATACTCATTAGTACTAATACTATTCTACTAATACTAGTGAGTAAGGTGATAATAGGAGTGAGGAGGAGGAGGAGGAGAGGCTGAGTAGGTGAGTGGCGGAGGAGGATGCACAGAAACTGAGGAGGAGAGTAGGATGAGTGAGGAGGATGGAGGAGGAGGGAGGAGGAGGAGCAGGAGGAACGCGGCGCGAGGAGGATGAAGAGGAGCAGGGAGGCGGCAGGAACCAGCAAGGAAGGAACGGACGATGACAAGAAGGACGAGAAGTCGGGCTTTGGGTTCGAAGACTCGTGATGCCATGTGCGCGCCATCTTGGAGTCCTCTTGGGGTCCTCTGGGGGCCTTCTTGGGACTTTCTTGGTTTTTTTTGAGGGGGGGGGAGTCTTGGGGCCCTCTTGGGGCTTTTTTGGGGGGTCTGGGAGGCCACTTGGGGCCCTCTTGGACCCCTTCGCTCAAAAAGAGGGGGGTCTCAAATTTACGTCCCCCTCGGAGGCCCAAAATGGGCGTCTTGGGGCCCTCTGGGGCGCTCTTGGGGCGCTCTTGGGCGCTCTTGGGGCCGTCTTGGGGCCCTCTTGGGCCTCTCTTGGGGCTATGCTCGGCCATTTTGGGGCCATTTTGACGCCTCAAGAGCCCATCGGCATCGACAAAGCGTTTGAACCCATTTCCTTGGAGGGCTCGGAGGGCACTTGACACCGTCTTGGGGCCGTCTCGAGGCCTCTTGGATGCGTGTCGGAGGCTATCTTGAGCCGTCTTGAAGTATCTTGGGCGTTTTTGGAGGCCATCTTGGGCAAGCTAAGGTCCTCTCGAAGCTACCTTGGGCCATCTTGGACGCTGTAACCCCTCGCGGGGGAGGCCGTCCAGACCCAGGGAGGGGGGGGGGAGGTAAACCTCCCGAGCAGGGAAAGGAAGGAGGGCTGGAAGGGAAACGCTCCAGACCACTTGCGCCCAGAGGTCTGGTGGGATATACCTTCTCTTCCCGCGCCCTTCCTCTCGCCTCGCGCCCACTCCCCTCCGCCCCCCGACACACAGGAGAAGAGCGATCAGACCACCCAGCTCAGACAGAAGGCCAACGAAAAGCTGGAGGAGAAGATCCAGATGTCCAAGGTGAACATCAAGGAGTTCAGGAAGGCGGAGTTCGAGAAGCAGATGGCGGAGCAGCAGGAGAAGGTCAAGGAGCTGGAGAAGCAGATCGAGGATAAGGACCAGCTGCTGCTCCAGAAGAGGCTAGAGAACCACTATGGCCTGATGATGAATTTCATCCGGACCAGGGCGGAGCCCACGATCTTTTATTTGCCTGCCACGCACAACGACGCGACGAAGGCGCAGCTCGACGAGACCCGAAAAGCGATCAAGCATAAGATCTCGTCGCTAAAGGGGCAGCTGGAGCGGCCTGACGAGGCGATGACGGGATGATAATTTCCACCCTAATAATCTCCCCGAGGGGAACGCAGGGAGGATGCAGCCTTGGCGTGGAGGCGGAGGGGGGTGAGAGGGGTGGTCCCTTCTCCTCCTGTTCCTGCTCCTGCTCCTGCTCCTGCTGCTGCTGCTGCTGCTCCTCCTCCTCCTCCTCCTCCTCCTCCTCGACCTGCTTTATTTCAAGGACCCTGCGAGGGAGCCGCCAAAAGGTTGCCATGAGGGAGGAGAGGTCCTAAGGGAAACGGGCCCCCTCCCCTCCCTCCCCTCCCCTCCCCTCCCCTTTCCCCTCCCCTCCCCTCCCCTCCCCTCCCCTCCACCCTCCCTCAGGCTGCAACGACCGACGGTTTTGTCGAGTATGTTCGGCCCCCGGCCGGAGCTCTCGACCCAGAGTCTTCAGTGGCGGGCCCCGCGGGCTGGGGAAGCGGCTCCCAGGATCGGGGAGGCGGGTGGTTCGCCAGGCTCGAGGGGCCAGCTTTTTCCACCGGCCAGCTGTCCACCGGCACTAGCACGGGGAGGAGAGGGAGGAGGAGGGAGGGAGGGGAGGGAGGGGAGGGAGGAGCGAGGGAGGGAAAGGGAGGGAAGGGAGGGAGGGAGGGAGGGGAGGGGAGGGAGGGACGGGAGGGAGGGAGGGAGGGAGGAGGGAGGGAGAGGGAGGAGGAGGCAGGAGGGAGGAGAGGGAGGAGCGCAGGAGGAGGAGGAGGAGGAGGAGGAGGAGGAGTGGGGGCTGATCTGATCTGTGAAGAGGGACCCGAAAGGGGCCCCGCGGGGCCCCTTTTGGGGCCCCTGCTGGCCCCCCCAACAAGGGTCGTGAGGCGCCCCTTGAGGGTCTTGTCCTTCCCCCCCCCCATGCAGGCGCTCCCAGGCGCTCCCGGGCGCTCCCGGGCGCTCCCGGGTGCTCCAGGCGCTCCCGGGCGCTCCCGGGCGCACCCAGGCGCTCCTGGGCACTCCCGGGCGCTCCCGGGCGCTCCCGGGCGCTCCCGGGCGCTCCCGGGCGCTCCCGGGCGCTCCCGGGCGCTCCCGGGCGCTCCCAGGTCACGCCCCATTGCCACCCGCCCGAGACATGCCTAAATCAGGGTGCGCCCGGGCCGGAAGTCCGAGGGAGCGCCGCCGCTGAGAGGCCCCGAAAGAGCCGAGGAACCTCCGACCCTCGAGCCTCACATCCTGATCCTCGAACCTCGAGATCCTCGAACCTCGAGATCCTCGAAGCTCAGGCCTCGATTCTCGAGCCTCGAGTTCGCAGAGGGGGGTAGGGGGAAGGGGGGGAGGCTTCATTGAAGCACCCCTGCTTCTTAGAACACGCAGGAATTATTTATGAAGGAGCGCATTCTGTGGACGCTGGGAAGGGGGGGGTTCGAACCGGGCCCCTGAGATGCAGGGGGGGGTCCGAACCGTGGGGTGGGCCCCCCCCCTGAGTTGCAGGGGGGGGTGTTCGAACCAGGGGGGGAGGGCCCCTCCCCCCCTGTTCAAGGGAGGGGCGTTTCGAACCGGGGTGGTGCCCACTCCCTCTGTCCTAGGGGGGGGTGTTCGAACCAGGGGAGGCCGCCCCCCCCCCCCGCGAGTGCAGAGAGTTGCAGAGAAAGAGCTTCGAACCGGGGGGGCGCCCGCCCCGTTGCAAGGGGGGGGGGGGGTTCGAACTGGGAGGGGCCCCCCCTCCAACTTGCAACCGACGACGGCAAGCATCGGCGCCGGCGCCGGCGCCGATGGGCAGTGACGACGAGGGGCCCCCCCCTTGATGCCGACGACGGCGAGCGCCAGCGCCGGCGCTGTCGCCGTCGGGCAGCGACGACGACGACGACGATGAAGACGACGTCGACGACGGCGACGACGCCAGCGCTGGCGCCGGCGCCGGCGCTGGAGCGGTCGGACAGCGACGACGACGACGACGACGCCGGCGGCGGCGGCGTCGACGACGACGATGTCGACGACGACGACGGCGACGGCGATGGCGACTGCGACGGTGACTGCGACGGCGACGGCGACGGCGACGGCGACGGAGACGGCGACGACGACGCGTACAGGGCCCCCCCGAGTTGCAAAGGGCCGCTGGCGCGGTCGGGCAGCGACGACGACGACGACGACGACGGCGGCGACTAGCGACGAGCGACGAGCGACCGCGACGGCGACGGAGACGGCAGATGCGACAGCGACGGCGACGGCGACGGCGACCGCGACGGCGACGGCGGCGACGGCGACGGCGATGGCGACGGCGCACGGGGGGGTGGGGGGGGCCCGGTTCGAATCCCCCACCCCTGCGACTACGAGGGGCTGGTCTCCCGGTTCGAACCCCCCACTCGGTTCAAACCTCCCTCCCTTGGACAGGGGGGGCCCCCCCTGTCCAAGGGAGGGCCCCCCTGGGTTCGAACTCCCCCCCTTGCAACTCAGGGGAGGGCCCACCCCCCGGATCGAACCACCCCCCCTGGAAAGGGGGGAGGGTTCCCCCTTGGTTCGTTTGGGGGGGGGACCCCCTTGGTCAGGAAAGCCGGTCCAGGGAGGGGAGGCCCCCCTCAGGGTTCTCCAGGGGTGCTCAGTGTTTTGGGGGGTGGGGGCCCCTGGCTCCAACGTGTCAAGGTTTTCTTCCAGGCCAGCGCCCACGAAGCGCGACCTTTTTTTATCTGTAGATGTAGGGCCAGGGCCACCACCTTCGAAAACAGCAGTCCCTTGCTAAGA